TAAGCAAAAATGTCCTTTCCGATATAAGCACAAATGTTATCCCCACCACTGGGGGGAAGACCCCTCGAGACGCCCGAGGTTCGCTCGCCGGGAAATGTAACGTGACCCGGGTATTAGTGTATCCGTGAGACAATACCAATGCAAATATAAAACTTTTTTATTTTTGACTTTTTCGTTATCAAACTTTTACCAATTAATTCTTGACATTTTTCCGATTAAAATGAGACCAAACACGACATAATTTAGACTATATTTACTGGTTTAATTGACGATAAAAGTTTCTCACGTCGAAGAGGATAGCGAGTCAAAAAGAAAGAGACGCTACGATCGTGGCAGTCGGCAAAGATCAAAAGTCTGTTCGATTGTTTGCAATACTTGAGCATTGCTAATTTTTTTATTTTCCATCCATTTCTTTATATAACTTTCTCCATCATATTCGCGACATTTTTCTGATTAAAATGAGACCAAACATGACGTAATTTGAGTTATATTTACTTCCAATATCTTATTAGAGTAAAATCATCGATGTACGCGTAACACTTGAAATTACAAGTAAATATGTCCCGAAGTATGTCGTGTTTGGTCTCATTTTAATGAGAAAAATGTTACAAATATGATGGAAAAAATTTAAACAAAAAAAAATAAAAAATAAAAAAGTTTTATTTTTGCATTAGGAGTGTCCTTCTAGTAGGTCACTGTTTGTTTACGTTCGGTCTCCATCGCTCGAAATGTAGCACCTTTACGATATACGCAAACGGCGACCGTGATATTTTTCTCTTCTGTCCTTTTCTACGTTCGGCAAGACATCAATCAATGTAGGACCTGTACGATATAAGCACAACTTCACTCCCGAAAGATTTGCTTATATAGAATATCCACTGTATATACTTTTTAGGCTTGACTTTTACGGAACGATCGTTTTAATCTTCTCAGTACCATAGACTAATATGATTTGGGTATACAAGCTTCTGACATAGTCATTTCAACACAACTTTATCATGTTTAGTTCATGGAAGCATTAGGACATAATTATTTTATAATGAAATATTATGCATTATAATTTTACATTATTGAATTTAGGTTTTTCTCTTACTTTTTTTTAAATAAACCTTTATCTGTTTCTCGTTTTTATTTTCTTTTTTATGTTTAAGAATAAAAACACAAATTGATTTTTAAAGAAGGATATCTTTGAACGAATTTTCATATAACGAAATAGTATGAACGTTGATTTGAAGCTATAAAATATCTTATTGCTTTTAGTGATAGGCACATGAGTTTGAAAATAAATAGTCAGTTTAACTAAGGTGCTGAATGCTAAAGTTCCCATAAGGTTTATTCACCTATTATTTTCAAATACACGACTGTAAATCAAATAAGCTATGCAAAAGACTTCTCTATAATAAATATATTTTTATGTGCAGATTGGAGATATTCCTCTCAAGTAGATTCCCTAGGTACCTGAGCACTTGAATACTTGGGAGTACTTGGGAAAATGAAAAGTACTTCGTTCCATACCAGTGTTATTATTTGATTATTTATGACTTTTAGATAATTTGTGTTATTGCGCGAAATATTAAGTGTGTACGAAATAATTAATTCTTTCTGTTTAGATATGCTTACTTTTATAAAAAAAAAAATACATCTCTAGAAATAGAAATGTGAAGGGCATAATAGGGAGGAAGGAAACTAATTATTTAAGATCGATGAGAGTACAAGAGCAATTGCAACGATAAATTAATATCGTACGGAGTTAACTAGACTTTAACATCGTATGCCCCTTCTTTCTCTCTTTTTTGATATTATTAAAAATTTCTACTTCCGTAAATATGTTTTTATGTAAAAATAGAGATATCTGATTTATTTTTTAATATGTAATTATTATTCCGTGCACAAAATAGAAATTACTCAAAATATTGTTTCATTCTCCCGGGTATTTCATAAGCATTTTAGTACCTTTCATACATACTCCAGTACTTGGAAAACACAATTTGTAGTTCAGATTTAAATCCTCGTGAAAAAAATTTAGGTTGCAATATCATATATAATTATAAAATTATATAAAAGAAATGCAGTTTGCAATTTTCCTTTTATGGAGAGTTAAAGCTGTACTGAACCTTCTATAACAATTCAGTATCTAGTTGACTGTTGCATGCTCTACTTAAAAACAGTATCCAATATACAATATATAAATCTTATTAGAACTTTGTACCCAAAACGATAGATTACAAAATTCAGAATAACGTTATTTATCACAGTACAAACATTTATCAAAATCTGAGTTTACCGATTGAGTAGTTCTTTTTAGCAGCATGTAATTGACTGACGAGAAAAATATGTTTGGAATGGTATAAATATTGCATCATATCAAACTTTTATCGCCATCAAGTTGGACGAATGTAATCGTCATAAAAATAGGTTCTTCGTGTCTAATTAATTACATTTATAATACATATACACTCCGCGACAAAATTATAGGACATCCCTAGATTTTCCGTGTTTCTCAAATTCAGTGATGTTAGCAAAGATTTGGTATATACGTGTGTAAATAGTACTCCCTGCTTTTGAAACATACGAAGAATCTACTGTTGTTTAAGTTATTTTCCAGAAATTATGTTTGTTTCTTTCAAAGCAAGCGTTGTGAGTAATTACTGTGCTTTAGTCTTAAGTATATTAAACAATTCATTGCAATTGTTAATATGAAACAGTGTTGATAATCACAAAAATGTTACATGGAAATAAATTGAACGAAACACAGATAAAAATGATTTTGAATTTAAGAAAAGAAGGCTCAAGTATTTCGAAAATTTGAAAATTAGTAGATAGAAGCCGAAATGTTACTCATAATTTGTTAAAAATCCGAAAGATTATGACAAAAACAAAACAACAGGTTCAAATTCAAAGTTGACAGCGCGTCAACTTGCACAGGAAGCAGGCATATTTACAAATATATGGAGTGTGCGCCTTTTATAACCACTATTAACATGTTGAGTGCTACGTTAGTCCCTACGGACTGACAGTGAACTTTCCTTTCAGGCAGCGTCAGTTCCTGGGGACTGACAGTAGACTTCTCGTTTGGTCGACAACGGTGCATGAGACCAGCATTGTAAAGCCGGTATAAATTATTAATAACAATTAAAAAATTTATATTAGAATTTAGTGAAGTTTATTAAAATATTTTAAACAAAGATGTGGCTGAGATTTGCATATCAAGAGCTTACGCGTTGCCGCCTGAACAGAAAGTATAGCAAGATTGACGCCACTCGCACTCAACGTGCTAATGACGAAACATACTGACAATTGAATGGAATTCGTTCGAGAATATTTAAGATGTAAGAAAAGGTGGAAAAGAGTTATATTCTCAGATGAGAAAAGATTCACTCTTGACGAACCTGATGGCCGGTCGTATTTTTTCATGATTTTAGGAAAGATTAGCAATATCAAATAAGTCGATAAATGAGAAATGGAGAACTTACGGTTTATGATGCAATTGGATACATAGGAAAGACATCTATACGATCTGTAGCTGGAAAAATGAAAAGTAGAGATAACGCCGATCTAATAAATGAGGAAATCGTGGCACATGCAGATCGCATAAGTAATAAAGAGTTCATATTTCAATACGACAATGCAGCCGTACATATAGCTAAATTTGTCAAAACATATTTTGACACAAATAATATTAAGGTTTTATATTAGCTAACAAGGTCACTTGATTTAACCCTTTGCACTCCTATGTCATGTGTGACTCGATATCACATTTCTCTTGGATCTTATAAATAATTCAGATAAGAGGATTGGTTAAATATATATATTTTCATTTATTTACTATTTATAATAAAGGAAAAATATATTTATCACATACCTCACTCTGTTACAATTTAGAACCCCTTTCTTGATTTATTTTGTGAATGAAGGAGTTGGTAGGTAATAGAAATTAAGGAGTGCAAATGGTTAAATGTTATTAAGGACAGTATGGGGGAATTAATCTATTATGTATATCGTGGTACAAAATAATTCAATTCCTTACAAGAATTAAAAATCGCTGTAGAGGAAGACTGAAATTAGATTTTTTAAAAGTTTACAAAAAAAAAACTATAAAAAAGCATATCAAAAGGATTATTAGAAGTCGTGAAAAGAAAAGAAAAGAAAAATATACATATTATTGAAATTTCAGTAAAATTCTTGTTTTTAAAACGTAAACAACAGCATATTCTTCATATATAACGAAAGCAGAAAGTACTATTTATAGATGTATACATCAAATATTTGCAAACATCAGTGAACTTGAGAAACATGGAAAATCTAGGGGTGTCTTATTATTTTGTTGCGGAGTATAGTATTAAACACATTACTTTTATAAAACGCTAGCGTTGGCAGAAAATATTTGTTAAAAGAGACTAGGTAATTTATTTTTTAAAAATTGTTTGATTGTTTGGATTCGCTTAACCATTTTCCATTAAATAATCTTCAGTTAAATAATTCCTTTATGGACCTATATTTATTTTTCAATATTGCTAATGTTTATTTTGTGAAAAATATTTTTTGTTGCAACTGTTTGAATGCGTAAACAGAGAAATGTTCTGAAATATTATTCGATCATTGGAAGAAAAATATGTAGATTTTTTAAAACATTTGATTTGTAAAGTATATTTTTTGTAAATGATACAATTTGTGATAATTATCTTATCTTATTTGTGATAAGAATACCAGTTGTAACACTTTTTCTAAATGATGTAAACTGTTAGTATACATATTTTTTAGATAAATATAAATCAACCTTTTTTGGATGACATTTATCATGATTTCAATAATGCATAAACGTTGGATACTAATGAACATTAATCTTTAACAAGGAGTGCATGCTTTTCTAAGTCGTTATTTACAATTTTTATATCGATAAGAACTTAAGAAGTAGCGCATTTGTTGATTGGATTTAAGCCTGGTGCATGTTATTGCATGCCCTATAAATGTTGTACAAATGTCTGAATGTATATCGGTAGGATTTAAACGCGGGTCAAAGTGGTCGTCCTTCATACCCAGGTGGTTTGACTACAGCAACCAGTCTTGGCAATGTAGGCAGTACCCCGCATTCATCTGCGGACCTGCGTGTAGGTACAGCTGTAGCGTTAGCCTCCTCGGTAGCTAAATATTGGGTCCTCACGAATCTATTTCCTGGACCGCTACCTCAGGTCTCGGTCTATCATCATTCCCATCACAACTCCTCGCACAGGAGTAGTGGGGGTGGAGAGGCATCTTCCAAAGAACCAGCCTCCACGTTGAACCAAGAAATGGCGTTGACTTCTAGTTCTCACCACCAGTCAACACCTACACATCATCAGCATCAACCTTCAGTTAGCAGTAGCAACCATCATAGTTCTTTACAACCAAATCCACAGGTTTGTTTATTTAGAAGTATGCATTAATTATTCAATTACTGTGTAGTTTCTAAAAAAAAAGCAGGTTTAGTATCTGTATTTGCAGGTTTTATAATCTATTCTATGTAACCTCATATAAGTGTGAGTAGAGTAGTTAGCAAAAATATACATTACAATAAAATATATGGAATGCTTGTCATTTTACATTTGCAAATTAAAATATGGCTTTCATTGAAGTTTGTTTTTATTTTACTTTTCCTTTTAATTGCATTTGATCGTATAGTAGTTGTAATTGAGATGTGTTTAATACTTTTAACTGCAGACCATTTTTATAGTCATTTTACAATTGATGACAATATCTCAAATTAAACAACGTTTAAAATTGTGTAAAGCATCTGTTACAATAATATGGTACCTTTGTATTCTCTTTGACAGATACCAGTATCTCTGCCAGGCCTTAATTTAGATGGAGCACATATACCTGCCAGTGTCAGTCATCTACAAGCAGCACATGCACAAATGCAACAGCAAATGCAAGCAGCACAACAACAACAGCTGCATCAGCAGCAACCGCAACAACAACAACAACAATCTCATCATCAAATACAAAATCACCAAAATGCTCAGAATAGTGGACCAACTGCGCATAATCAAGCCGCACAGAGAGATGACAACAAAGTAAAAGATGAAGGTGGAAGTTGCACAACTGAACGTTGTAGTGATAATCAAGTTCACTGTCAAGTTCAGTGTGATCTTCAGTTACAAACATCTCAAGATTTGCAACAAAGCCTTATGCAGCAACAACAGCAACAGCAACAACAGCAACAGCAACAACAGCAACAAATTGGTGTAAATATAAGTGGAAATTCCTCGACAGAAGGAGGCGGTCAAAATAATACAGAAAAACCTGAAAAAGAAAAAGAGCTCCGTCAACTGAATATGGCACAGTACGTTTTCCATATCGATTTGTTTATGTACAAATTTTAAATATTTCCAAACCGACTTTACTTGCATTGTGTTCACGTATACAGTGGGGAAGTAAGTAGAGTATTGTTGACAAATCAGTAGGAATTTATAGATTACCTTGCAAAATATATAAAACAAAAAAATAAGAATAAAAATACACTACTACATGCAGTTGACATTTCAAAATAATCTTATTTTTAGTAGGTACGTGAACAATTTGGTAATTAGGAATTAATAGTACAGTACCTAGAAATTAGTGTACAACGGGATATTCATGTTCACGTTCAAGCACTATAACTAAAGGATTATTTCATTCGATAAATTTTTTATCCGCAAATATTACATAAATTTTAATACGAATCGCACTGTTTAAAACGTATGTCATTTACAGACAATAGTCTTCAAGAAATGACATTCTTCGTTTATAAAATGCCAAGATTTAGGTTTGTAAAAAGCATCATGTAACGGTTGAAAAATTTAATCAAAGACACTTCATAATCAATGTTTGGACTGAAATTACGGGTAAGCATATTATTATTCCACTTATTCGATTACATCGTTAATAGCAGCAACACTTTTGTAATTTCTACATTATATATTTCTACATTTCTACATAATTCGTACACTACGTCAAGTTATAGAATTACACAAGGTTCATTTCATTTAATATAGCAAATCGATACGTTGATTATTAAATGAATCATTTGGAACACGATAGATAGGTCATAGCGCAGTTTTACATGTAATAGTCATTTCATTCATTTGTTTGAGGTCATTGGGTTACGTTTTTAGAGAGAATCAGCAAAAATTATTTATATTAGGTTGGGGAATAAATTCGTAGCGTTTTGACATTTTCTTTTTTTTACAGCGACATTTTGCAATTTGCAAGGGGTTATAATATTCATTCGATAGAGCTCTTTCTGTTCTACAAAACTGTCTCAATCGTTTTTTTCAATAGTTTCATTCGTTATTATTATTGAGGCTCAGAAATGGAATATCCAGGAGGTAAAAATTAGCACTTTCGACACCTGCTCTTCTTCGCTTTCCATCGCGGCCAAAAAGCTGCTGAAGCAGCCCGGGATATTTGCAATGTGTACGGAGAAGGTGTCATAGGTGAGTCGACAGCACGGAAATGGTTTGCAAATTAAAAAATGGCGATTTTAACGTCGAAAACTCGCCCCGCACCGAAAGACCTTCTGAGTTCGACGAAGAGCGTCTCCGAGCACTTGTAAAGCAGGATGGTCCACAAACTAGTCGTGAATTGGTCGAAAAAATGAACTGTGACCACAAAACTATTCTCAATCATCTCCATTCAATGGGATTTGTCAAAAAATTGGGAGCCTGGGTGCCTCACGAAGTGAACGCTACGAACTTATTGCCCAACCTTAGGTTGAATTTTGCAAACCATTTCCGTGCTGTCGACTCACATATGACACCTTCTCCGTATACACTGCAAACATCCCGGCCTGTTTCAGTAACTTTTCACAACTTTTCACAACTTTCTGGCCGCGATGAAAAGCGAAGAAGAGCAGGTGTCGAAAATGCTGCTTTTTACCTTCTTGATATTTCATTTCTGAGCCTCAATAGTAATGACCAATGAATCTACTGAAAAAAAAACGATTAACACAGTTTTGTAGAGCAGAAAGAGCTCTATCGAATGAAAACTATAATCTCTTGTAAATTGCAAAATGTCGCTGTAAAAAAAAAGAAAATGTCAAAACGCTACGAACTTATTCCTCAACCTAACAGTTATGTTTGACAGTAACATTAATTCATAATTACTAAATTGCCGATTTACCCTATGCACATAATAATTTTCCATTATCCATCACTAACGTCCTGTATCAAATTCCAAGCTAATTTGTTAATTTCTTACTATATTATTAGTTATGCATTATTTACGTTCTCGATATAAATGTAAACACATTGCAAATAAAGTCAGCTTAAGAACTTATTGGAATTTCACTATAATTTTTTAAGAGAACGGTTACGTTACATCGCTTGAGAGTGTCAAAAAAATGTTTTACAACAAATAAAAGATGATATTGTAAAAAGATATGACTGTAAATTTCAAGTTCAAGGATAATTTTGCACCTATATATTTTGTAAATGTTCTCCGACCCAAAGGTATAACCATATTATGATGACATGTACACGTAATTTCTATACACACTATACAGTCATTTTTGTAATATAGCATGTGACATTGCAAATTTTGTAATGCAGATTTCAAGTACCGGATTTAAAACCAGGTGGTCACATGATGGATGTAAGAACAGCAGATGGTTCGGTCGTGAAAATTAGTGCTGGAAGTGAACAAGATTTAGCAAAAACGCTTGGCGTTGAAATGGTCCAAAATATGTACAAGGTAAATAATGTTACAATTCAAATAATAGTGTAATATTTAATCATTACATATTTCTTATGCTTTCCAGGTGAATGTTGAAGATATTAATCAACTTTTAGCATATCATGAAGTGTTTGGAAAATTACAAAGTGAAATAGCAGCAGGTACAACCTTAGTTGGAAGTACAGTTCCTACTCAAACAGTTACCACTATACAAAACGGAACACCAATTGTGCAACAAGTTCAATTAAATAAATTTGATATTAAATCGAGTGATGGTGAAGCTACACCAGGGCCAAGTGCGTCGCCAGTATCAGTTGGAAGTCATGCTTGTGAAATATGTGGGAAAATTTTTCAATTTCGTTATCAACTTATTGTGCATCGTAGATATCATACAGAAAGAAAACCTTTTACTTGCCAGGTATATAATAAATATGTGATAACAATTTGTGTCCTTTTTCAATATTATTGTTTTCATTCATTACATTTAACATGTCTGAAAACTTATAGGTTTGCGGCAAGGCTTTTTTGAATGCAAATGATTTGACGCGTCATGGAAAATGTCATTTAGGAGGATCTATGTTTACTTGTACAGTATGCTTTCACGTTTTTGCGAATGCTCCATCACTAGAACGTCATATGAAACGACATGCTACGGATAAACCATATAACTGTACTGTATGCGGAAAAAGTTTTGCTAGAAAAGAACATTTGGATAATCATACTCGTTGTCACACTGGAGAAACACCTTACAGGTAAATGACTTATTTTTCATTACTAGTAACTCGAAGTTCAATATTTCGTATTGAAAGTAATAAGAAAAGTTATGACTTTTTGAGTATTTGGTGCGTTAGTAGTTTGGTCAGTATGCTGACGTTTCGTTTAAGATTTTTTAAGATTTACCTAAATCTAACGGATTTTATTTCAATAATCATTTATAAAGTTTAATGCAATGTTTTTGTGGTGTAGTTGTTGATATTTAAAACATCATTAGGCTGGAATATTAAATCATATTAATTCTGGGATGGCGAAATCTAAATCAATCGTTGCCTATATCTATGAAATATACAGTGGAATTTGAAAAAAAGTTAGCAATAATAATTTTTTAACAAAATAATACTATTCATTAGAAAACAATGTTTTAGTTTATAAACCAAAATTTACGAAACAAAAATAAAATATAATGTTGAATTAAATTTATTCGTTGTGTTTATTGACACTTCAAAAGTCAGTGTAAAGGAATTATTAAAGCGTTTCAATAACGTCAGTAATGTCGGCGGATATAATATTACAGTAAAATCGTCTTAAATGTGCATTGTTCGGGTTTGAGCACGATTAGTTACCCGACCATGAAAGGCGACTGATTTTGAGGAGCAAACTGTCCGCTCTGTTGTATTGTACACATATAAACGATATATTAATCAAGATCATCATACGATGTTTCTTGTGTTTATCGACGATTCACTTCTTGAAGCCAATTTCAGAAATTTATGAAAATAACTTATGATCCTATACAGAGATTTTAGTTTTCAGTTAAAACGACTACACTGTAATTCGATTTAGTATTCTGTAGTACCAGTTCTTTAGGCTTCAATAGCTGCACAAAACATTGTATCATGCTGTATAAGTGATGATCGAAATATGATTTACTAGATTTAAATCAAAATGTCAGTAAAAAAATCAAAACAACAGGATGAGAACTCGAAAGTTCTAACGACTAATTGAAGTTGTTCCGAACATGCGACGGAACATAATACGCGAGGATTTCGTAGGTAGTTTATGATGGGTCCGGGTCTAACAGTTATTTTTGAAAGACAGATTTTTAGCCATCGACGGCCATTTAGTTTTACATTTTTTCGGACAATGCCTTTAGAATTTTAACTTTCATTTCGTCTTCAATAACTACTTTACCATAAACGGGGGTTTTCCGAAGGTTCACGGAAGATGGGCCTCGGTCCCGTCTTAGCGGTAATTTTTAGGACAATGTGCGTGTCACCTGGAGGGAAAAACCCCGGCGTTGCCGACCTTCGAGATCCTCCCGTACTCATCGGTATTTTTCCCACCCTCTTCCAAAAAAGGCGCGCTCAGGGCGCAAGAGAGGGTGGGCCCAAGTCAAGGGGCATGTTGATTGGAAAATCAACGTTTCTAATGAGAACCAATCAGCATGCCTCCTTGCACTTCCGACTTTTCGAGGAAGCAACGACGAACCGTCTCGTCGGAAATCACAATCAAGTCATTCGAGTCGGACTTAAGAATTAATAGTAGTGTCAATCGTATCGGACACAAAAAAGTGAAGAATTCAAAAAACAGTCATTCGATTCGGACTAACAATTCTCACTAAGTCAATCGTGTCGGACTTAGAAGTTTTACTAGAGTCATTCGCTTCGGACTTAGTAACTTTTACGAGTCAATCGTTCGGACTCACTTTCAAACATTATTCCTAAGGTTAATTCCTTTCGAATAAATTCAATTTATGTAAGCGTAGATGATTGCAAAATACAATTTTTGAAAATCATTTATTAAACTCGATATTACATGTGAATTATATAATTTTAATGTAGTTTTAACATTTATAAAAGATACGGATCTGTATAACAGAATATAATGAAACCCCATTTACTTACAAGAGAAATCACCCAAACGTTACATGCCGATTTTTATGAAATTTTTATGGTATAGAATTTGAAAAAATATTTGACACGTATTTTTTTTACGTGTAAGCAAGCGTAAAATAGCTATTTTCATAAATATTTCGAAAACTATTAGCCCTAAATAAAAAATTCAAAATGCTTTGGAACCCCAGTAATATGTACATATATATTAAAAATTAACATTATTTTGAACATTGTTTCAATTTTAAAATAGGTATCGTCAATATATTTACTACCATTTCTCAAAAGTTTAGAATAATATTTCAATATAAAACTCGCCATCTTCAAAACTATAAGAGAATAAGATATTTTCAGAGATACAGGAAAAGCAGCTCCTTTCAAAGCTTTAGCAAATCACGCTTTTATATTTTTGATATATCGAATACATACTTCAATTTATCCTTATTTTTTGTTTAGACCCATAGTTCATGTATGTGAAATTCTATCAAAATAGTTCATCGTTTTATTAAAAAATTTGTAAAATAATGTTTATTTTTAACATATTTTTTAAACAATTTTTCCAAAAATTCGCTGACGTCATATCATTGATCTTCCAAAGCAGAAAAATGTACATTTTGATTTTTTTTATCTAAGCCTAATAGTTGCTGAGATCTTTGTGACAGTAGCTTTTTCAACTCCAGCTTTGAGGGTTATTTTCACCACATCAAAGCAGATATTTGCACGTAAAGAAGTACGTGTTAAATATTTTTTCAAGTTATATACTATAAAAATTTCATCAGAATTAGCATGTAACGTCTGGATGATGTTCCTCGTTAAACCGAAATACGACATGTCCCGATGCTTGGAAAGCCTCGATCAATATAACAGATATGGAGAGATGACAGAATAGGTCTTATTCTCTCGAGGAAATTCTTTCATTACTATTTACTATTTTCTTGAGAAAACGACAAATAAAAATATATTGGAATTATTCGCAATGAAAGGTTGAAATTGATTAGTTGCGAGAAGTAATCGCAGTTTTTGGAAATGGTCACCAGGAATGATGCGAACATCAAACAAACAAGTGTCTGGCATAGGACTATGTATCTTTGCGTACATACACTGCCTTTAGTTGTCACATTAATTGATATCACTACACGAGTTGTTTGTTTTAGAATAGTTATACCTTATTCCTTAGGTTTAATTTCTAGAACTAATAATGAAAATGTTTAGCTACTACTGAATACATTTTCTGCAATAGTTAAAAGAGGATTTTACTGTACTTGTCTTATCATTTCATTCATATAATGTTTTCTAAACGTTGGCAGTGACTCGAGACTACATCTCACTGAAGAGTGAAATCTAATAAAACAGTTAAATTTTGCCTTGAGACAAATGAAACTTGTAACATGTCATTTAATAACATCTTCGAAACAAAGAAAAGCATATTACATCAAGTTCCAATCTTCCACCACCGGGGGGGGGATATGTAACAATCCTGCCGTCGATTCAGAACATACTTTTTTGGAGCAATTTCGCATCGCACCATATTTTTTATTATTTTTTTAAATAATTTGAAAATGGTTGTAAAATGTTTTTAAATTACTCTTATTCATTTTTACACATTCGGGATAAAAACGAATAACTTCGGTGAGATTTGAACTTGCGCCTAAAGACGACAAAACGATATGTCTCTTATTGTTTCGCCGACGATGTTGTTGTAACAAACTTGTACATTTCCGTACATAAGCAATCGTAGCATAAGCTTAATTAATAAGTGTTGTGAATTTTATTCAGGAACACTCACAGAAATATAATTAACTGTGGTCGGCCAACACACATACTTTATTTAATATAAAATGTATTACACAAATAAAATTATAAAAGGAGGAAAAAGATAATGCGTCTTAAAACATAACACTTGCGATGACTCCTCCGCGCGCAGGCAAACGTGAGGAAACAAAAAGACACAAAAGGAAAGTTGGCAGTGTAAACAATTCCGGGTTAAAAATGGGAAATAGAAGAAAATAAATCAGAAGCCGAACAACAATTTTACAATAACGGATACGGAGGGTGTTTAATGTTTCAATTCAATTTCTCAGGATAGACTCTTGCGCATCTTCCTGTATAGAGTATTTATGTCTTCTCAGGATGCTGGGAAGGGAGAAAAACACGGAGTGCGAAAGGGGATGACGTTTCCCGAAATCGGGAATTCCCACTTTCCCCTGCGGCGGTCATCCGGTCTAAAACCGTTGACCGGTGACCCATCCGGCCCTCGACTTACAAATTACCGTAACAGTAATAAACCCAAGGATCGCGTCGACTTTTCAAACTACATATACCGGGGGGTGGGGGTGGGGATACAACTACGCCAACCCTGGGCTCAATGTGCCTACCAACTGGTAAAACGGACAAGTTATGGTTCCTTGGTCTTTTATTACTGCTATGGCAAACCTTCAATAATCTAAAACATCCTAAAATCTAAATTATCTAAAAGAAAAGAAAATTATATTTAAATTTAGTATATGGCCGTTATTGACCGATTTGCAACAATAAGTGAATATTACTTTCCTCGCTAATATATCATTTTTAACGGAAGCGTAACATTCATTCGATGGTTTAGCAATGTGACAATCAATATAAATGTCTGAAATTTGACTTTTTTTATTTTGCTCTTTTCTTAAAGGTGATTTCCTGAGCCGAAGTGCATCTTTTTTGCTCTGCCCTTATTTTTAATGTATTAACCCTTTCGCGCCGAGCGCCGCATATGTGCGGCATCCACTCGACGACCTGTGGGTACGAGCGCCGCATATACGCGGCATCCGCGCCACGACTTTTGGGTATAGCGTTCTGTTCAGTGACGGTACTTCGGCGGACGGGACTGCCGTAGCGAAAGGATTAAATACAATAAGTTTTTAATGCTGCGTTTGTTCAGTTCCATAATTTGAATAGGGTTGCTTTTCACGAAGATTCGTTTGTCGCTGTTGTATGGTCTTACAAGGAAAGGCACGGAAGTGTCCCCCTCCCATTTTGATGAAACTTCGTACGTTTATTAAGCAGGCAAAAATAAGGGACACGTATTATTTTTTATCGGCTGAGACGCGGGTCTAAGTGGTGAAACGACCCCTTAAAGTTTCGACCCTTTTTTGCTATCTCGAGAACCA